TATTTTTTTCCATGTACATATGGTCGACAAATCACCATTTAGTCGGCAACTTTGGTTTGTGTGAAGCTTTTCTCAAACTGTTTACGAAAAGATCAATAAGTTATGAACGTGTTTGGTCGCCCTTTTCGAAACCATTTATTTCATATCAAGTGTCTGGAGTTTTCCGCGTGAATAATCAATAAGCGGTGACAATCGATACAAAAAAACACATCAAGGTAATGTTACACTTGTGTATATTACAAGTCAAGTCGTATGGGACATGACAGACAGTTATAAAGCTGTATACACACAATCCAATTCAAAACTGGTCATAAAAATAAATCAAAATTGAAATTAATTAAACATAATTTATCTCCCTCACCGTCAATGGTTATTCAATATGTGCAATGTTGTTTCACGGTTTTGATTTATTTTCGACAAGAAAACGGGGATTTCAGACATTCTGGAAGTGCTTTAGTGACACTTTAGACAGTGGTTAAATTTTATTAACTCAAAATTTTCATTCAAGAAAAATGAAAGTAATTTATTATCTCGATTCAGTAGTCAGAACAATAATGTTATAAATTCAAATAATGTAACAAAAATAGACAATTACAAGCATTGAATCTATAACTTTGATGTATGCTGCAAAAATCCGACAAGAAATTTTGAATTATTGATTGAAAGAATTATGGAATATCTATATTTTCTGGTATGAAACCGGTTACAATGACCGTGTAAAAAAAATTACATGTATCGCATATCCAGAAATATAATAATAAATTGATACATATTAATATATTATACCTGGGAGAAAAAAAAGATTAAATGAATCATAAAATTATTATTTTGAAGTTTCCCGTTACTTTCCATTTAAATACGTGTATTTCCCGTTTTTAAACTTCCACTTTCAAATTAGATTAAAATCAGATAAAGTAGTAGTAGTAGTAGTTGTTTATTAACGTCTCACCAGTTATAAATACATCACATTCAAAAATTATAATATACTAAGAATAAAAAGAAACTGCCATTCATTAAGAATTATGAGAGACGAGATGTACATTATATAGACACAAATAAATAAGCATAGTAAAATACAAATAACAGAAAAACACACATACAATGTGAATTTTAAAATTTACATCTACACTAGGCTAAAAATAGGATTTTAAATGTATTTTATAGGAAAACAGTAATTGATTCGGCCTGTGTGACCCAATTTAGAGGATAACACGGCGGCAATCAGGCAGTATTCAAAACATGATTTGTTCAATAGTTCTCAATTATGTCATTTTAAAGTTTAAATGATCTTAAAGAAAGTTCTTCCTCTGGAATTGACATTAATAATGGGTTAACTTTATTGGTCTGAAATTCAGTCAATGGACTGAGTTTAAATGTCTAACTCAAAGCAACCAACCTGTAACATGTCTTTTCAGCTGTTCAACGTTCAATTTCAGACAGATTTCCTTTTACGAAAATTAAAGATTAATCTTCTGGGACAATACTGCGATGTGGCATGTAAATATTGCGAACATATTCTTTTCATGCCGGTTAATTGTTTTATCGTATTGAAGTGAATGTTTATCACTAAATTATATTCCAAATGTCACTGCACATTGATATTTTTGAGGGGTTTTGAAATTTCAATCCTTTTAAAGGTCCACTATAACTTGAGAAACTTCCCCTTAATTTAAACCATAGCATTTCTTTTGCAAGGAACATTAAGCTTCTAACCCTTGATTCTATTGAGTCTGGATAAACGATAATCACCAATGATTGGTTTTGAACAACAACAGAATTTGAAAATTAATTTGACCTACTTCCACGGAGATTCAGATAGGAAACACCTTAACAAATGCCTACAGTTTGTGTCGCTCTGTCTCGCCTGGATGTTATATATTTAGTAGCCAAATAATGTAAGCAAACTGCACAGAAAAATATAGAAACTCACCCAGAACTAATGATGCATACTGATACTACTTTAATTTCTTTTTTGGAGGGGTGGAGGGTGGGATGCTAGCAACCTGTCATTAAAATATCAGTAAAACTTAAAATTAGCTAAAACTCAGGGTCCAAACGTTAATTCAGGAGTTTCATGTGTTCGGTTTGTAAAGATTGGGGAAATATATATTTGTTGGCCTGAGAAAATGTTCTTTAACATGTTTTCCCTATAAAGGTATTTGTTGTTTTGAAGCTGTGCTCTTCCTAGTTTAACATATAAAAAGTGTAAGTGAAGTAATTGCTGCATTGAAAGAATATTCATTATAAAAGGATTTCAACTATTTCTTGTCAAGTTTTTATTTATGAATATACAGCTCTCAATTTTATGGAATACAATTACCGTTTATTACTTAGCGACGTTTCGACTAGGCTCCTCTAGTCTGAATCAAAATTTGTATGAAGCAACAAAGTATTTAAATATTTTTTTATCGTTTTTCAAAACATGTTTTACCATGTAATAACAATATAATCTGAGCTCAGTCTCATGTACTAAATTATTTATCAATTTACTAAAACAATCTGTCCTTTTTATAGTGATTAGCATTCTTATAGCAATATCACAGGTCATTAATGGCGGTGTTTATGGACGGCAATAGACACGAGGAATTTAAATTTTAGTTATCTACTTCAATATTTTTGTCGCCGACTCTATTTTGGAAATAAGCATCGGATCTATTGACTTATTATCGTTGGCGACATTTTCATCTTGGGGTTATCGTTTTTCATTTCCGCATCTCGTGGATTTTATTATCTTTATAAGAGACGATTGTTTTCCGTTGTGTCGATTTTATCGTTTTCGTGCTAATTGGCGAGGGAATAATTGCACTTTGATATTTTGCGGTGATCTTGATAGCCCGTTCTATGCTCGGTTTAATAAGTCCACTTTCAACAAGCGATCTTTTGTCTTTGTAAAAGGAAAAAGTACAAATTTGTCATGTTCTCCATACGACATTCTAATATACTTAAGTTTATTCAGTTACACGATCCGCGATACCCACGCACCGACAGACCGGGGTTTTAGTTTATGATGACACCGAATCATGCCTGATGTTGCATATATTGTTCTGGATGGTTCTGTGTCGTAATTTGAGTGTTATTGTGTGCAAATTAATTTAATTCCGCCTCTGCAGTATAAATAACGATCATCTCATTCGGTACATATTAAAAGATAATTTAATCATATTACATTTGTTTACAAGTTGTCTTAAATATTATAAACCAGCTATTACATGATTAAATGTATTAAATGTAGCCATTAAGAGCAATTTACATTTGACAACATCGTGTCCAGAATTAATTGAGTATACTCATAACAAAATAAATAATACTTGCGGAATGAATCATTTTAACTATTAACCTCGAATCGATGATATGAAAATTTCATTATTTTCACATGAATCATTCCGACACTGATTTTTCTTTTTTTTTTTATTGCACTACAGTGTGTTGCCATTTTAATTTCAAATGGGAAAATATCTATGTACATATTTTTTAAGAAAGACTATTTGAAGTTAGACTAAAAACGAGATATATATGTTATGGAAACCGTTTATATCTTGTGCGTCTCTAAGAGGAATGCCAATATTTTTTGCGTCTGAAAGTGGTGCCTCTCAGAGTATTAAACGTTTGGTGGGTTTAGCTATGTTTATTATCTTCCACAACAAATAATGTGTGGAATAAGTTGCATATGTATTTAAACTTGAAGTATTGCACTAAAAGATTTTATTGTATCAATATACCCATTAAGAGCAACATACATATTACAAAAATGAAAATAGTATTTAAACGAAAAACATTTGTTAAAAATAAAATACCATTTCAAATACAACGATCTACCATTACATAATATCTGAATAACATAGTAAATTATGTTTTTTATGGAATAAAGTTTCTTCTTCTTCTATAGACGTTTGCCTTTTTAGTTGTACTGTTTTGGCTGTATATTAACCTAATAATATTACCAAATTTTATATACTTTCTGGAAAGACAAAAAAAATCCAGAACGTTGTTGCGTTTTGCTTACAATATTTCACAGCGAAATGTTTAGATTTTAATTTCTGAAAGACTAAACAGTGCTTTGATACCCGTATCTTGCTTACACTATTTTTGTATTTACGTATTGGTAACCTTTTAGTAGTTGCCAAAATGGTTTGAAAATACGCCAGTATTATTATTATTTTCCTTCAAACAAAATTAAAATAGTCGACAATTATGTAACGTAATGGGGGTTCCTATCTTTCATAAGATTGAACAAAACCCTTGGAAGCCACTTTACGACATTATCTGACTTATAAAAGAAGGTCTTTATTGAAATCATAACTTTACAAATCGCCTCACTACCAGTCCATTGACATAACGACATCGTATCCCCTCGATGACATATCTGCCTAATTTATAGGTGTTATATCTTTAATAATTACCATATTCTCGTCGTCCTTTGATGTTCAAGGATGTGAGCGACCTATTATTAAATATTAACCATATCCATACCCTTGGCTATCCAGCTGCTCTTGATGATGATAGTGAGCGTGAAATTCACTTTTTACCAGTCACTTGTGAAACCAGTGTTTAGACAATTACGGTTTTGGTTCTTCTATGTTACATAGATATTTCTCAGACATATCGGTTACACATCTTGACGTGAATCATAAAATAAGGGTATCGAAATATAATTCATTTATAGATTTCATTATAGATAAAAATTCTCTATATGAAAATTCATATCTGAAAATCTCAGGGTTTCAACGGTATACTTATTACATGTATTATAACATGCAGCGAGAGGTCTATAATATCTCTCATGGATAACCCTTTTCGGACCCTTTTTTTTAAAAACAAAGATGGATATTATTCATAAATATCAGATATCATTAATGATAAAGTTATTATGTATACTAGCTAATGTTTGTCCTTTTTTTTCAAATAGGTTTTCAAAATATGTATATTATTCATACATATCAGATATCATAAATGATAAAGTTATGTATAATAACTAATTTTTCCCTCTTCTTTCGTTGTAGTCGAACCAGCCAAGAGAGCCCGGACAGCTTACACCAGTGCTCAGTTAGTGGAATTGGAAAAGGAGTTCCATTTTAATCGTTATTTATGTAGGCCTCGGAGAATAGAAATGGCAGCCTTACTTAACCTTTCCGAGCGTCAAATTAAAATCTGGTTTCAGAATAGGAGAATGAAGTTTAAAAAGGATTGTAGACTGAAAGGAGGTTCCGATAAAATGGACGGATACGGCGGAAGTGACACGGAAAATAGTGGCTCACATGATCTCAGCGCCAGTCCTGATTGTATTGCAATGAACTGTGGAGGTGAAACTCCTAATGGACACCGTATTCCCGCCTCTGGTCATTCCCCATCCCATCCCTCATGCGAACAACAATCTAGGCAGCTTAATCATATTCAGAGCATGCGCATACCAACACAGATCAGTCCTGTGCCACAATCAGACAGCCCGTCATTGATTGCGCGTTCAACAATTTCCCCCGGATCTCAAATAAACTCCGTCACGTCCCCTTATTCCCAGGCAGGACATAATATGTATATGTCCCACAATTCTAGTATCCCAGGTTACCATAGTAATAATAACAATAGTATGATGGCACCTGGAAACGTATATTCGGATATGCACCCAGGAATTGAATCCCAGCAACAAGGACAGTGCATGACCTCTGGACCACCAATGTCCAATTCCATGAGTTGTTCTGTATCGTCAATGGGTGGTTACAATCAAAACGGATATGACTATATACCCAAACTAACGCACCTGTAGAATTCAAATTAATATAGTCTTAGAGTTATTTTATTTTCTAAAACGGGTGTAAAGTCTTCTGAGAGTTGAGCATGTGGTGGAGTTGAGCATGCGGAACAGGGCGTGGAGCTTGATCTAGAAAGAACTGTGAAGAAGGCACGCAATTCGTAAAGTCAACGATATTGGTAATTATCATCAACAAAGAATCTTCTAAGAATACCCGATGATTGGTGTAGGGCTACCTTAATGCAGACCCCATATATTGATTGACATATTTAAACCGAGAGTTAGTTGATTAGGTTAAAAGAAGAGAAGAGAATTAAAGGTTTCGTTCTACTGGTGTTTTAAGGACAATAAAAGCCGATAAAAATTAAGGCCGATGCTGCACACGATATAATCCCCAGATCAGATTACATACGGGTAATTAGAGAGGAAAGGTTTGTGGACGTATACGTTGCATTATGGACACAGATGGTTTGACAAAACCCCTATCACAATAACTCACCTGTAATTTCCCTTGCCGCCATTGTCTTTTTACTTGACCTTTAAGCAACACGCTTCGGGTAAAAAATGCAACTCGTACCCAGGGAGTGATTACGACGGCAATCACACCAGTAATTTGCCCACTCGCTCGGCCAGAACAATCTCGTCAAAACTGACATTTAGAGACCTTCGTTCCCTTCAGCTTCATTGAGCTCAGTTAAACAAGAAAAAGACTAGGTGTGATACGTTTATAACATGATGTAATTTTATTGTTGGTGGCCATATTGTGTTTAGAGTCAAGGTGTTAAGACCATGTTTAGCAGCTGGCGGCCATTGCAAGGGAGACAAATCTCACAGCATGACCTCCTCGGTGGCTGGAACGAGAAGGTATATTAAAATATAGCCTGCTGCATAAACACCAGTTTAACTTGATTGGATTCCAATAAGAGTAGCAGATTGCCTTTTTGATAAATGGATCCTATTACGTTGACCAATTGGGTCGAGCTATTATTAAGTATTTAGTGTGATGTAACGTTTTTAATATATTGGCCTTGCTGTCGTGTCATACGAAACTTTTCATGTGCAATAAAAATATGATGTCACTAATGCGAAAATGAATATATTTGCCACTAGGAACATATTTAACATTTGTAAAAAAAAACCCAGATTGATTGGCATAATTCTTAGCATTAATTAATTAATTAATCATATATTGTTGTTGGATTATTTTTTTTCTCGCATTTTGTTTTAAATTTCTGCGGTGTATAAATATTATTAATATTGTTCCGAGTGTATATATAAAAAGATGTAACTTAAATTTAAAAGAGAAATGAATTATAAAGCTTATTTTACCGAGAAATGCTCAATATAGTAAATATATGTATAGATAATTATTATAAAAAAAATTATCAGGGTTAAAATGGAATTATGAAATGTTTTATCAAAAGCATGCAATGGACATTATAACGTGTGTAGACTGTCTTTTTTTTTTCTTTTTTTTTTGTGTGTGTTACATTCGAAATCCGATAACATGGGGTCCTCCTTAATTATATTCTATATATACCTTGTCTTATGTCAAAAGTTTCATAATTTGTTTGTAAGTAAAGCGGTATATATTGTTTTCAATGTGATTGAAATTGGGCTTAACGTCCACGTAACACAAACTATGTCATTTCGGGACTAACATATGCTTCAATTTTATTTCAATAATTCTCTTTCAAGTAGGGGTATTTAGTTATGGGAGCACATCATGTACCCCTTGTCATGTGCAAGTGTGGGATAAGATTGAAATCACGCCACTAAACTCATTAACAGACCTTATTACCCAAAGTGCATGCTCTAGACCATTGATGAATGAATAAATGTAGCTCATTATCATATAAGCCTCTTGATATGTATCCGCATTTTCCTGGTGGTATGGATTTCTGCTGCCGCAAGATCAATTGAAACAAATTAAATAGGTGTTTACCTTGCTTTTAAAATAATCATTAATTAAATTGTGTGTTTGTAAAATTGTTGTGGTTGCATGTCAAATTTTCCTTGGATTTAGCTACTTTAGAGTCCCAATTTTTGTTCCGTTTCAGTTTATATCATTCATAAAGAACATTGTGATATTTTTGATTTTTAAAAAGTAAAAATCTGTCAAATTACGATAAACTGTATTCTTTATTATAATTTAAAACGGAGTCATCCATGCTCGGTGAGTAAGACATTGGCTCACTAACCAAGAGGTCCCGGGTGTTTAACGTGACTTAGTCTTGTCCGTGGCGCAGGACGGGAGCGCCTGACAACGAACATGGTCTACTCGTTGGAATGGGGATTACCGTGCGTTGGCATATGCGATAAGCACCCTACAGCCTAGTTAGTTGGAGGAACTGCCACTGTCCCTGCAAAATGTCCCCCATTGAACACTGCATAGTGTATGCCAGTCCTCAGTAGACCGCTTAGCATAGAAAAGTATGGTGTTAAGCCCCATTTAATTTCATGTTTTAAATCTAGGCTCCTCTAAAGGGAGAAGGGTGTACTTGCGAGGGTGGTGGAGGGGGTGGGGGTATAAGATTGGGGAATGAAATAGAGCTTAACGTCTCGTCGACATTATTTATCCATGTTATTTTGAGACTAATGTACGGTTAGTTGTTAGCTAGTGGCGTGGAGATCAGAGTAATAACATAGAGTCTATCACGTTAAATGGGTCAATACGAACTTTCAAACATTCAAGGGTGTCAGTAACGTCTACATCCCCAGTTTTCACAAGTCTCGAGATCAGTGTTTTCATTTGTCATTTGAAGCGAAGCTGACGAATTTAGCCATGTCTCACCAATTTGCCACTTCTCGACCTCATTCTCACGGCTAAATCTATTTGTTAAGGCCAGCTCCATTTTTGTCAAGGTCGTTGATGTAAATAAGGTTAGAGCACGTGATTGTTGGCAAGATTGTAGGTTAGGGTTAGGGTAAGCATTGGGGCTAGGTCCAGGGTTAGAGTTAGGGTTAGGATTAGCGCTAGCTCTGTATATTTATATCTCGTGACCTATGACGAAACATTGAGCTGGCCTTACCATTTAGCACTAACCCATTCTCACCGACCCATCCCAGGAAAATTAGTATAGGAATTGGTCTACTATAACCTAATCATTTCATCTAAAACCTTTTATATTCAACCCCTTTGAGTAATAAAACACCTTTCTGGACATCAGTCATTGGACACGCGGCCACAGAAATTCTGGAAAGCATTACGTTTCTATGTATGCCACTGCACACTTTATGAACATTTGGGCCCAAATTCAAACCAGTTTTTGTCATGACTATAATATTCTAACCTATAGTACAAGAATCTTAATAATACGATCAGTGCCATAAAACTACACTTAAAAAAAATTCAATTCACAAAAGTGTTTCTAGTTCACCTTTTTTAATGAATTGACCTTTTAAATTATGCCAACAGAAGTTCGATAGCTGCCTTAATTTACATATCAAGATTTATTAGTAGGGCAGTGGAGAAAAAAAAGATTTTTTTAAAAGGAAAAAAGACACAAAAAAAACGCGCAAATGTCAAAAATATCTTTGAATGGCGTGCTACCAGGATATCTGCAATTGTCATCTTCAATTTCAAACAAATCGTAAAAAAGCTCTTTCTAAACAATACAAGTCATTGGTAGAAATGTCGGATGTATAGTATAGAGTTTTAAACTCTGCACCATTATGCCTTGTTTTTATTTCCGTTTCAGCTAACTGTCCTATTAAAGTATCAACTTCTTGTATGGAAACAAATGAAGTTGATCGCGCATATGTCATTACGTTGACTTATCGGACTTTCTTACACCTGGTCTGACAACTGTTTGAAGATAATAATTACCTATAGTGAGCAGGGTGGTTATTAAATCCTTACTCGGGGTCTCTAACCAAGTTTCTAAGCCGCCAGGCTAGAGAATCCAGGACAATGGGCTAGTTAACCTGATAACCCATACTTACGGTAAGCCGCTCCTTATAATAGACTTTCTGTCACAACATAGCTCCAATCTGTATGTTGATGGTCGACAGGTACTGCCAACTTTGTCTACCTCACGCCAACATAGATAACTATCAATGAGTCTTACGGTTTTTGTGGGTTTCCGTCTTGATAATAAAAAGATCATTCCAAACTACACATTTCTTGAATGCATGGGGTAAAGACTACAAAATGAAATTAACTTAAATTATATTAAATGGGGGGGGGGGGGTTAACGTCCTACTTTTCTGCTCTATCTAGGCTTATGAAGACAGGCATGTGGGGGAACTTTTGTCCGGACAGCGGCACTAGGACCTACATTTATTTTGAATTCAACCTGTCAAGGGTTCTTTTGAGTGCACACGTTACCTAGCTCAACACCGGGATCACCGAGCCATCGCGGCTTCTATATAATATTACTAAGCTTGTTACATTTCACTTGCCTAACATACTGTACAAAAAGTTTAGAGGGCCCTGTACACGTAGAGCCAGTGCCTTACCCTGCGTATACAAAGCCAATCATTTCCATAAAGCAGCCAAAAAATGGTAGTGGGTCCCAATGTAATACAACCACCCATGTCCAAGCATCCAATCATCATAGAGTCAAGTAAATGTGACTTAATTTGTCAATAAAAGGGACTGAAACGCAGTTGTATGATACAAAACTAAAAAAGAATCAATTGTTTGCCTTGCATATACTTCCAAAATAAGTGAAAGAAGCCGCGGTGGATCGCTAAGCAGGCGGTCAGATGTAACGAAAAAATGCGATCTTGTTTACGAATTCGAAAAATAGGAGGCGGAAACGCCACTTTCCGGACAAAAAATTCTACACGTCGCATTGCACACGTAAATTTCAGAAAGATAATTCGATTATTATTCAATTGTCAGTCACACATTACACAGTTATTTGTGATTCATGTTTCTTGGTGACTATTTTGCATCACACCTACCACAACATAATGGATTTGATACCCATATATCAATTTGTTTAATAAAAATATCAGGGTGTAATCGATCTATGCTTATTCAACAGGGGTCACGATGGTTAAGTGGGTAAGACGTTGGTTCGCTAGCCTGGGGGTCAAGTGTACGATCCCTGCATTGGTCGAGAAAGTGCATCCAGATTGTTTGGCGTGGTTCCCCCTTGTTAGTGTAGTCCCGAAATTTCCTAGTTTGTGTTGAGTGGACGTTAAACCCCATTTCTCTCTCTCTCCCTTGTCAGTGATGCAGGACGGAGGGCCTGACAAGGACAGCTGTCTAGTCGTTCGGATGGGACGGAAAACCAAGGTACCGTGTACATATTAGCGTGTACGTAAAAGATCACTTGACAGTTGGAATTCGATATAAGAGTAGGCCGTAGTGCCACTGTCCGGGCAAAATTTCCCTCATAGCACACTGTATGGCGTGTGTCCGCCTTCATTAGCCCAGTTCGGAGCAGAACAGCAGGACGTTAAACTCCATTTCATTTCATTTCATTTTATTCAACAATACAGAGAGAAACACCGTTCACTGTAAATGATAGTACAGGGGAGATAAACATGCATTTGTTTCAAACATCCTCCTTATATAATTATAAAGTTTCACTATTTTACTATATGAAATGAAATGTCCTGCTGTTCAGTTACGACTGGGCTAATGAAGGCAGACATACGCCATACAATCTGCTATGTGGGAAATTTAGCCCGGACCGCGCAATCGAATTATTGAAATAAAATTAAACCATATGTTAGTCCCGAAATTACCTAGTTTATGTCGAGTGGAGGTTAAACCCCATCTCTCTCTCTTCCGGTTTTCTTCTAGGATCATCAAGTCTATGAATGAAACGCAGAAAAGCTCTGCTGTTGTGAGCTGGCCGATGTTGTGAAAACCTAGAAAAGCATAGGTAATTCGATTAACCAGATTTCCGTTTTCCTACCAGTTTGATGCGTTTGGTTGTACGTGACAAGGAGTAGGGGCGCCTGTCCAACCTCGTGGGTATTCTCCGGGTGCTCCGGTTTCCTCTCACTGATAAAGACCCCTATGGTCAAGCGAATTATTGAAATAAAATTGAACCATATGTTAGTCCCGAAATGACCCATTTCTCTCTCTGTGTCTCTCTGCCTCTCTCTTTGAATTCCTATAACACTTGTCTGTCAATTACCTTCTTAATCAATTGTCTTGGTTACACAGCCGTTTATGACTGATAATCCAGTCGTTATCATGTGACGTGACGTATCCCCTTTAATCTCATATCAGTTAGGTGTAGATTTAAAATACCCACTTTTATACATTATCAACTAAATGCATGCTCTTCGTGTCGATTTGGCTAGAGAGTATCTGCTATGGTCTGCTCAGTGGTAAGCCTAGCAAGATCTATCCACAACTGTCGACACTGTAGTAAGTATACACGAAAAGAAAAGTTTACCGAAAATCCAATTTCATAAATAAAATTTAATGGTTGGCATATCCAGAATAGTAGTAACCAACCAAACAAAGTAATATCTTTTAGTTAAAATTAAGACCATGGACATATATCAGTTCTTTACTAAAATATTTCCCGAAAATATAAGTTACTATACAGATATAACCAGACCGTCAAAATACAGCCAAATATAAACAAACTAAAATACAGCTCGGGGTTTGAATATCTAACAGATATGAAAACAACTGTTGATAAACTGACAATTCAAATACCGTATGATATCTATATAGACAGGTAGGGGTATACTATATCAGGTATATGTCAATCATATAACAATAGATTTTTTTCATCAATGACAAATCAAATAAGTGATATATGGTGTTATTTGAAAGAGATACTATAAAATTTCAAAATTCGTTCTGATTACTGGTAAAGAACATGGCCGCTGATTCTGATGATGGTCATTACACCGAGGTTACCTTCCAAACTATCGCATACACAACCAACAAGTCTTTGACAAAACGACTCCTTTATATGGGAATCTATAATAGGTAACCTTTTCTAATTTAGATTTCTATGGCTGGTCCCTTAGTTTCCTGTCATTGTCATAAGGTTACCTTCTACCAAGTAACAGCAGCTCCTGGAAATAGGAACAGAGAGTGACGAGGGGCGAGTACGTGAAACCAATAGAATTACTCTCTGATTAGTATCTGATATTACGAAGCTACAATTACTCCCTGGTATAGTAGTGTCTGATATTACGAA